AAGGTCATTAGGTAAATATATTGACTAAAAAGAAGTTATCGTAAGAGTAAAAATTTACCTTAGGTGCTTCAGCATCAGGACTGGAGTTAGCACTCTTATGCTTCTTTTCGACAGTCTGAGAAGTCTTTTTAGACCCGTCGAATTTGATTATAGAGGCAGTAAACGGGCCCGTAGCAGCCTTGGGAGGTTCAGACATGGAAGACTTGGTTTTCTTTTTTCCTTTTGGGTGTTTTAGAGGGGAGAGGTTTCAACAAAGTTCTCCTTTTCAAAGTCCTTAGCATCAACACCTTCAAGGATTTACAATAGAAAAAAAAACGGGATAACCACATGGTCAAAAAAGTTATGTGTTTTTTATCTGATACTTTGTCAGTTGCGGTGTCATGGTAGTAACTGGTGAATTTGGAAAAACTGGTACGTTTTTGGTCGAAGTCAATGGTGTCTTCATCCATCACATTGGGGTCAAACACTTCTCCACTTAGGCAAAGATCAGTAATGGTTGCCACGTTGAATAAGGTAGGTGCTATCATCCCACAAGGCATTTGAAAGGTATTCTTCTTACTCTCCCAAAAGTACAATGAAACAATTAACATATTTTGGCAATAGGGAGGGCCAGACCTCGAAAATTGAATTAGGTCATAAAGATCTTATGCTTTCAAAATGGTGGTTTTCTTATATTCAATTTATCGATCCAGGAGATATAATCTTCCTTATTTTTTTGTGGAGCGTGCAAAACGGGAAACGCTAAAAGTGGCACTCATATAGTTCAAATCATTAGGTTGTTTAAGGCAGATTATGGGTTTCGTGCGATGGTAGGAAAGGAAGATTTCCTTCCACTTTTCAGCTTTAACATTAGTAGGGCCACTCAGTTGACCCGAAAAGGCATGGGTTTTTTAAGATATAGAGAAAAGGAATCAGTACCTGAGATTTCCATATCACAACTTTTTCTTCTTCCATGGGTGGTTCTGGTATGTACTCATGTTTTCCAGCGGTGAGTGGCGCGTTCAGCTTAGCAGCAAGTGGCAAAAGGGTTCTTTGATCTAGATGAAGAGGACATGGTTACAAAAAAATCTCAGTTTGACTAAGATAAGATGTAAATGAGGAAGCGTGAAGTTTGATAAACCAAGAGTCAAAAGATGGAAAGAGAAGAATAATTGAAATTGACGAAAGAAATGGGTTTTTATAGAGCACAAAAAAGACAGTTCAATTCCATGTCTTTTGGACAAATGACGCTTATTTTGCATACAAGTGTCTGTTGTTGAGAGGCAGAATTAGGGATGGCAAACAAACCCGGGCCCGCCCACACCCGCCCGGGCCCGCCCCGAAATTAACGGGGGAAATCCGGTTTAATTGGGTGCGGGTGCGGGTGCGGGTGAAACCCGGTTCTTAACTACGGGTGCGGGTGCGGGTGCGGGTAGACACTAAGACCCGCCCGCACCCGCCCCCGCCCCGCCCCAAATAATATATTTTATTTTGATTTCCTTATTTTATTTATTTTAATATTTATTTATTTATTATACTTTTAATTAAGTTATTAATATTCTTATTGCAATTAAAATAATAAAATTAATCAAGTTAATATTCATTTATTAATTAATATTTTAATTAAATAATTAATTAATTTATTAAAATAATCAATTTTTTAATTAAATTACTAATTTTTATTATAATTAAAAAAATAATAATTTTTTGCGGGTGGGGGCGGGGCGGGTGCGGGTGCACCCGTTTTCTACTGGGGGCGGGTCTGGGTGGTAAATTTTCACCCCCGATTGAATTTGGGGGCGGAGGCGGGTCTGTTAAATGGAGGCGGGTGCGGGTGCGGGTATAGTTAAACCCGCCCCCGACCCGCCCCGTTGCCATCCCTAGGCAGAATTATAGGTATAGTTGCTCATGGCTCATGTTCTCTTAGGAAATTGGAGTAATGAGTGAGATTTAGTGGTTGTACGTCTTGGGAAGACGTTTTACTAAAAGTGTCATGATGACAATGATGTCAACCCATGACTAGACACAATAATGATAAATTTTCAAAAATACCTTTATCTCCTTCTACGTCGAAAACGGTATTTTTTTTAAGGGCAATTTGTTAGCATGGAATTTCAACATCATAAGTGAAACATAAAAGATCCAGCAGAATACTTGAAGATAAACGCTAACATTTCGACAATTTGGATTTTTTGGGTCTAAAGGTGTCGAAAAGTCTATGTTGGGTTGAAGTAAAGGACTTAAAACATTTTTAAATAGTTCTCAGGAGGTTCGACGAAGGCAGTTGGAGCAAAATATTGCAACTTTATCGTGTAATCATCTGAGTCTTATCCATGTAGCGAAGGCACGTGGGGACAAGCCAATGAGTTTGAAATCAAGCAAATCAATACGTGTCCATTAGTAGGATTAGCGTCGTTATAGGCAGTTATTTATGTGTTACTATAAATAAGGATTCTAATGTTAGAATTCAAGGTGTCAATTTCATTATACAAACACTCAAACACTTAAAGTACCCAAGCGGTGGAGAGAAATGAGTCACTGAGATAATGTATGATTTTGCAAGCCACCACTTACATATTTGATACAATTTCTTATATTTCTTGTTCTTTATCTTTATTGTCTGAAAAATTATTTACTTTTCATTCTCATTTTTTTTCAAGGATTTTGATCTTTTCGAAATCCCTTTATTTCTTTAATTTTTTTCAAGTTAAACTCTTACCTTTTTGCAAATTTATAAGTTCTTTTACTATTATAACACAATTAAATACCATTTATGGAAAATTTAAGCACTACGTCCTAGAATTCACTAGTTGATCCTTAAAGTAAAATGTTTTCAAAGAGACCAGTGTTTATTTACCAAATTTAGAAGTAAACACACACAAATAAGAAAGATTAATAAATATTACTGTCAAAAGTGTGATGCTTCCTGTAACCTGCTTCGTCTTCCACCTACAACCATCATATAACTTAGAGCACAAGTAGACCAAACAAGCGGCACCCAATTATAATCATGGATCCGCTCAAAGTCCTTAAAGTGTCATAAGTAGAGGACATCCACATAAGTGGCACTCTTGCCCACAAAAATGGAAGTACCAACCAAATATAACAAGTACGCTCTCATAGCATATGTTTTATGATTCTCCACCTGCTCCTCATCATCAGCGACCTGCTTTGCTTTAACCAGCTCATTTGTATATACCTTCTTCAAGAATCCAAACCTAGCATGAGTCCCTCTGGTTTTTTTTAAACTCCCTTAAGGCATCATCTGGATCAACTCCCAGATAGTCTATCGTCAACTCAAGTGTCTCATCTTTGCTAATCCTCCAATGATCTAAAAGTTTCCCTCTAATTGGAAGATGCAACAGACATTACACCTTGTCGAGTGTGATAGACATCTCACTAAGTGGTAAATAAAAGATGGGGTCTCAGTATGCCATCTCTTTATAAATGCATTAATTGTTATGTTGTTCACCGTAACATAATCGGTCTTGAATAAGTCATTCATACCAAATAGATGTAAAGCAGCCTGAAACCACTCGTTAGTAGGCTGATGCAAGCAAATAATCTTCTGTCCATTGTTAATGAATTTTAGTGGATCACAGTCCTAGAGAAAAATAAATCATCATTAAAAACTTGTAATATAATATTAAACGTAATTTTAAAAAAATAAATCTAACTGATTTTACCTCTCCATCCCAGATATGTCTGGTGGTATGATTCGAGTAAAGAGGTAGTCATGACAACTATAACGGGCCTCCTCCAAATACCTTTGTTACCTCATCAGCCTAAGGTCCCTTTGGTGCCTGGAGTGGCACTGGTGCCTCTAGTGATTGAGGTGCCTCTGTTGCCTGAGTAGGTGAAGTCTGTCACCTACGGGAAGATGAAGGTAGTGATGCGTCACTAGGTGACATTCGTCTCCTACGGGAAGAAGAAGGTGGAAATATATGATCCCCAAAAGTCGACGTCTCCGTATCAACCGGGGCAGAGAGAATGAGAGTCTGCGAAACTTGACTCTTTTTCATCCGGACAGATGCATGTTGTGCCTCAATCTGTCATATTTATCAACCATAATGCAGGTAAGTAAACCAGACAAATGTCGCACAATTACTATAAGCAACCCTACAAGCAAGAAAAGCAACAAAAAAATACAGATTGATAAAATACGGAGATGCATCTCTGGTTTCTAGGAATCCAAGCGTTGAAAAAATACGGAGATGCATCTCTAAATTTTTCTACAACTTTTATTTTCGTCAATGGCACTAATGCAGACCATTAAGACCTCGAAAATAATGCATTGATCATTACTTTTAACTATGAAACACATTTCTCATAATGTATCAACTATCAAATATGCATAAACTATATATTTCAATACCTAATCATCAATTTATACAAATTTATACAAAAAATCAAAAAAAAATTACAATGATAAAAAATATACAAGAAGTGAGGAATCTTTGAAGTTGATGTAGTTAAATGAACTCTTAGATGTCGTTCGATGATGATTGAAGAAGCTTTGATGTTGCTTGATTGATTTTGAGACAATATAATTTTAAGAGAGTTTTAGAGAAAATTTTGTTTTTTTAATAAGTGAGGATGAAGAAGGGTTTTGCACGTTATATATAAGTCACGCTCAGAAATATATCTTCGTAATATTTACAAAAGGTGCATCTTCGTAATTTTTCACATTAAATCATATTTCTATTGAATTATAATAGATTCAAATATGCATGTTCAATTTCTAAGAACTTTTTATATTTTCATGATATTTGGTGTTTAGTAATACATAAGGGGCCCATTTCTGAAAACCCCAAACTCAGAAAATATCCCGTATCAAGCTATGAAAGTAAAAAGGGAGGATCAAACGGAATTACATAGATGCCCTCAACAACTTGGCAATACTTCAATTTGGAAGAGTTTAACGGATAACACATCATCTCATCTCATCTCATCTGATTGAAGATAGTAACATAGAAAATAGTTTCAGAGTTTATTCAGCGTGGCCTATCCTTCAACTTAAAATGGCTGCGCTTAACTTTGGCATAGCCACAACAAATGTGAATTTTGCTTCTCGTTTTCGAACCACACCCAAATTCAACCCACGCAAATCCACAATTGTCTGCATTGGATGGGTAATTCAACTAAACCAAACTCTAACTAACTTCTTTTTCTACTATCAGTTTTCTGCTATAGTAGTTAGTTACAATTTCTTTCTTATGTAGGATCCCGAAGGCATACTGGCCCCACCCAGTGGCGGCCACCTCGCCCGCCAACAGTTCCGTAAACGCCTTGAAAAAGACTCCGACGCTCGCGAAGAGTTCGAGCGTCAAGTCCGCGAAGAAAAGGAACGTCTTCAAGCCCTTCGTGAAGTAACTCAACTATATATAGACAAGATATATCAATTATTATTTGAAAAGTGAATTTTTGTTTAGCTAAGTTTGTTAATTGCTCATTTTCTTAGTCACGGAAAGATCCTGATACTCCAAAAGAGCTGATTGAATACTTCCTTGACACCGAAGCTCAGGATTTTGAATTTGAGATTGCGAGAATGAGACCACGGTTCGTATCGTAGTGTTTTTACTGACAGAATTTATTTAAATTTTTATTGTGTTGTGATTGAGTATTTTGTTATGCAGATTAAACGAGGAATTCTTTTCGGAATTGAAATCTGAGCTAGGAGAGATTCGATTTGCTGTTAACAAAACACCGGTTGGTTGGTTTCTGATTTGTTTTTTTGTTTGTTATATTTTTTGTTGAACAAATTGTGATAGTGTTTGGCCTTTTTGATGGTTTTTGCAGGCTTTGGAGGATAGATTGGTTGAGCTCGAGGCTCTAGAGAAAGCCATACAAGAAGGAAAAGGTTTGTGAAAATGGAATCTGAATAGAGCGAATCGCTAATGTAGTTTGTGAGATTGTTGGGTGTTCTTAACTTGGTCATTGAAATTAATGAAATTTCAAAATGGTCTCTGAATTTGAAATTTCTCGATCAAAATAGTCATTGTATGCCTATCAGACTATTTCACGGGCTAAATTGGCAAGACTTGTGATCGAAGATTTTCAATGTCAAGCACTATTTTGAAATATTAATAATTTAAATGATTAAATTGTCAATGCCATTCTATTACTATAATGCAAACTCACTCTTTGCTCGGTTGCTCCCATTCGCTTATGCAGAAGCCTATGATAAGATGCAAGCTGATCTCACAAAAGCCAAGGAAAATCTAACCAAAATCTTTACATCGAAGGATGTGAAAGCAACTGTATGTCAATATTAATTTTTAGAGTTTATGTTACTGGTTTTGTACTCGTATTACTAGTTAAACTAGGTCTAATCTATCTTCAATGCAGCTGTTGGATATGGTTGAACGCAATGAGATTAATCGAACTTTGTTGACCCTTCTCGATGAAAACATATCATCTGCGCATGGTGCCAACCAGGTAATATCAATTGAATGTTTTTTCATCTGATTACCAAAATCTATGTGTGGAATTGTCAATTTGGAAGAAAATAATTCTAGCATCACCTGGATGTAACTTTTAACTCATTACCCTTCTTAAAACACATCACATTTTCATGTTGCCAAGACAAGAAAAACAAAAGCTTTGAACTGACATTTTTTTGACAAGTTGAACTGACAGATTTTATTTAACTGACTTAGAATTGTAGGAATGTTATTTATGTTTGAATCATAATAGACGAACTTGTGCTGCACTTGCTTTATGTGTATTGAGATAAGTGTGTGGTTTCCTTGTTGCAGACGCAAGCTGCAGAGTACATGGAGAAGCTCCGTGGGGCTGTTCTCAAATACATTACAGTTTAGTGCATATAAAATGTTTTGGTTTTTTACTATTTGTGTAAAACTGTGCCGTTGATAATTGTATCAAGATATACTATCTATAACACTAGAGAACTGAGTTGTCACAGGCATGCTGCAGATTTCTTCACTGTGGTATCATAATTCATAGCAAATGAATTGTAAATTTTGAATACTAGTATGACTAATGTATATTTAGTTGGAAAGCTGGTAATTGAAAATTTGCTTTGTTTTTGAGTAATTTCAATTTGTCTCCTTCATGACTTAACTGTTCCAAGAACATGCTTGATGAATGATCAATTGTACTCCGGCATTAAACACGCTTACATTAACAAATTAGAGAGAATGTCAAATTTACTAAGTTAATATATTTTAATTTGGTACTTAGAGTAGTAACTTGAGTTACTTTTGTCCCAAAAGTGTGTTCATAGTTGAAATTGATCCTCGAAAGTTATAGCCTCAAAGTCATTTTGTCGGCCACTATGAATCTCGGTAAGAAAACAGAAACACAGTTTTGTTGTAGTTTAAATTTCATATTGTTTTAGTAACTTTTAAATGAATGATCATAATCCACAAACTGGCCACCCAAGTCCTTTTATTTTTTCTGCAGAAGTCTTCTTAATTTCTTATTCACTCAGAATTCAATACATGAACTCGCCATTCAGATCACTAACAATATAGTTTGCATCAATACATTTCAATTTATTAATAAACTCATTTAAAAATTTATAATTGCAAAAAATATAGTGTTGCAAGAGTCTTCTCAAAATCCCGTTTGGAGCATATGGAACAGTTTGCAGGTTTATTGGAAGGTGGAAAGGTATTAGCACACTTTGTGTTTGACAATTTGCCTAATTTTAAGCATATCTTGTCTTTGGATAGTGCTTTATTAATAGACATTGTTATTTCAAAAATGAATAGAATACCAATACAATATTTAGTTAAAGTAGTAAGTTGTATCTTTAAAACTAGTAGACAAAAGTTTTATCTTTAAAACTTGTCAACAAAGTTTTATCTCTAGAACATGTGAAAAGAAAGCTATTATATCTTTAAAGCTTACATGCCCATATTGTCCTTTTTAAAAAGAAAGTGGAATACGGTAGCAATCCACAGATATAAACAATAATAGATGTTTTCCACTTCCTATAGTGCTGTTTCCTATACTCCTATCAGTGTATAGTACTAAACATGGCAGCTACATGGAGGGTTTCTTTACTGGTTCTCGTGAGCCTTGTCACTTACATGTATGGCACTGCAGAATTCTCTATAACCTCTGCAGAATTCATCAAGTCTTCGTGCAGGTCGACACGCTACCCTGCTTTATGTGTTCAATGTCTTATGGGGTATGCGAGCGTGATTGGCCAGAGCGAGCGACAACTAGCCATAACTGCTATATCGGTGAGCATATCCAAGACACGATCAAGTGCATCATATGTGAAGAAAATATCAAAAGCAAGAGGCGTGAAGCCAAGGGAGTACAGAGCCATACAAGACTGCATAGAAAACATGGGCGACAGTTTGGACAGTCTTAGCCAGTCGGTTAGGGAGTTAGGCAGTATCGGTCATGCTGTTGGGGAGGACTTCGAGTGGCACATGAGCAACGTGCAGACTTGGGTCAGTGCTGCTCTGACTGATGATAACACTTGTCTTGATGGCTTTGCTGGTCCTTCCATGAATGGAAATGTTAAGGATGCCTTCAAAGATAGGATTGTCAATGTTGCTCAAGTTACCAGCAATGCACTCGCTTTGGTTAATCGATTTGCTTCAAGCCATTAATCGGTCAGTTGTACTTGTTCATCTGTATTGTTAATGTTTTCCCTAAACAGATGGAAAAGTCTCTCTTCTACCAAGTCTAGATTTGATCTTGTGGTTTTTGTTGCTGTAATGCATGCTGTGCTGTATTGTACAAAAATGATATTTTGAGTGTGTGTGTAAAGGGACTTCTTACGGGTCTTGTGGAACAAGTTTCTAGAGAATTGAGTGAATTTCATATGTCATGAGAGTTGTTTAATCTTCATGTCTATCTAACAATGATTGTTTTAATTTTATTTTTTTTTACAATAAAGGACATGTTTGTTTTAGCTTTAAAATAAATAGACTTTTTCTTTATTTTTAAAAATGGATTTTGTAAAACCGTTTTTCAAAATATTCTAAGTTTTTTTATATTCATTTTTTCTAAATTCCAAGACTAATTTTGACATCATACAACATAAATATACATTATTGAAGATCAAAATATAGTTGAAATCGCAATTTTTGAAAAAAGTTGTATCTCAAAAATGATTTTTATAAAAAGCTATTTGAAATAACTTTAAAATTAAGTGATTTTTTGAAATTTTAATATCCAAATTTTTTTTCGATAAAATGTTGAGATATCTAAAATAACATTTTAAGAATAAATATACAATCTAAATTTTCATTTTAAACTTATATGAAAATTTTCTTTGTAAATTTTTTTCTTCATTTATATTACATTATAAAAATTATTTTTTTAAAAAAGCAAAACAAATTGGCCAAATATATATCAACCTTACAATCTATCCTCTTTTTCTTTTTCCTCTTTATATTACGAATCCATCCAACTTTTTCTCCCATCACTCCACTTATTTTTCTTATCTTTTTAACTCTTCTCTACTACAACTTTAATTAGGGTGTGTTTGGAACCTCCTTTTGTCACTGAATTTATTCGTGTAAAAATAAACTAAACAATAAATCTCAAAAGAAAAAATCACATTTAGATTATAAATGCGTGTTTGGCTCTGCAATGAAAAAAATGAATGAGTTAATTGATTTTGTGATTCCAACCAAAATTGAGTTGAAGTGTCATGTTTTGACAATTTTTTACTAATGTGAGTTGAATATTACATTTTTGTGTAAAAATTATGTGTTTACAAGACATTTTTGTGTAAAAATTATGTGTTTACAAGACTCAAACATACAAATAATATCTTCAAATAGAATCATTCCGAAATTAATTCTTTGTGCTCCAAGAGTAAACATAGACTTAAAATGTGTTGCCAACATAATTGGAGGGGGAAGATACGTTTGAGAAGTCAAAACCTCTTGAAAAGTTTTGGTAACATTTAATTGGAATGGAAAGATATGTATACACAACAATTATATTTATAATTTGTAAAGACCAAGATATAGAAACAACAATTATATTTCTAATTTGTAAAGAGTTTACATGAATATAAGATGAATTGCATCATCATACAATTCAAGCACAATTATATGAAAACATAAGGCAATTCAAACGACGATTAGTCGTACACAACTCATCCATCCAAGACACAAAAACTAGAAACAACAGAAATCATCAATACATCAGATATTGAATCTCTTCATATTACACATAAAAGAAGGATCTCAAGAACTACTCAAACTGGTGACGATGGGAATAACAATGACCAGAATAAGAATCAACAAAAGTATAATCCCAATGCACATCCACTTCCTCCCACTCTTCTGATACTGTTTAGCACTGTGAAGATTCTTTGTACCATCTTTCACATAGTGAGAAGAATGAAGAACATGATGTTCAATATCATCCATTTTCTCACCTTGTGCTTCAACCATAACAGCCATATCCAAAAACACTTGATGAAGTTCCAACAAACTCTTCTCAATCTCTTTTGCAGCATCATATCTGTCTTGTATCTCAACCACTGTTTCAAGAACCTTTCCTCTTCCATGTTCTTGTATTGCCTTTCCTAAAAAACTTTCATCATCTCCATTTGATATAATCTTATCAATCACCTCTTCATCTGCATGTTCCCCTGTCACTGTATAGTACCTTCTCCCTACTGTCTCTTTGTATTCACTCATCATTCTCTGCCTCAGTCCCTATCAAAATCAGACCGACACAAACACAGACATCAGACATGACATCCACACACATGTAAGATACCAGACATGCCTTTGTTTTTGAGACAGATACATAATTTAAACCTTAAAAGTTGAAACATGTACAATTTAAACCTTAAGAACATGTATAATTTAAACCTTAAAAGTTGAGACATAAAGTAGAATACAGTGATTATTGTCACCTACCTGAAACTCCATCATAAGCTCCTTGAGCTTCTTACGCAATCCATTGGTGACAGCAATTCTTGTTCTATAAATTGCCGGTGAACCGTCTTTCAGTCCAGAGAGTCTTCTATTAGCATCATTAGCACGATCCATTTCTTCCAATTGAGTTCTAATACACCTTGCTTTCTTCAAAACAGTTACAATATCAGTATTGATTCTCTCTCTCAATGATTTCAGAGCATCAGTTTTGTGAAGGGACTTGCTCTCTTCGTTAGCTTGTTGAAGATTTGTTAGAACATCGCGAATTTCACCCATTTCTGTTCTTACTTTCTCAGCCTCTTCCAAGAACAGATTCATATCAGTTTCCAAATGAGTTATTGAAGATCTTGTTAACTCAACATCATTAACACTTTGTTTTTGAAGACCAGCTTCTAAATCAACTTCATCTTTCATAGCTGCTTTTTTTAGATCAACATAGTTGGTGAATGATTTTGTCATTAGATCATTCATTTTCGACGAATTGGGTTTAAAGGGTAATCCCTGAAAAGATAGAAAAATATAAACTTGAATGGAAAAAATGAAGATTAAAGGGTCTCCAAAACTGTGACTTTATAAACTAAAAAAAAAAGTTTTTTTTTTTTTTTTGCAATAATGGAAACACGGGATGAGAAGCTTGCTTACCCTTTTGATTCTTTGAGATGTTAGAGAAGAAAAAAAGGAAAGTGAAGAGAAAGAGACACGAAATGGTGAAATTGATAAGGATGATTTGTGAGGAATCTAGGGATTGAGTTGAAATAGATTTGAAAATTGAAAGGAAGTGTGAAGGTTTTTTATGAGTTGGGAAAATGAGCCTAACGGCTAGTTTTTGGAGAATAGTCAAGTAGCCGTTACTCATCTCTGTGAAATCCAACGGTCATATTTATATCTTTATTCTTTTACAAAGATTATTACATTCACATGTTTTTTGTTGCTCATTGGTACAAAAGTTTTTATTTTCCGACAAGAAAAAGAATATCTATATTAATAAGGTTATGTCTCTCCGATTGTAGATATTGTTACTTTGATTTTGTATCACATGTTTTTGGTTGCTCATTCATATTCAAGTTCTTTTTTCTCGCACAAAAAAAAGAATATATATATATATATATATATATATATATATATATATATATATATATATATATATATATATATATATATATATATATATATATATATATATATATATATATATATATATATATATATTAGAAAAGTTGTCTCTTGATTTAAGATTACAATACTTTGATTTTAGGTCACATTCTAAGATTTTTTTACTCAAATACCACTATTTGAAATATTATATACTAAACTTACACGACATAAAAAAAAAAATCAAAATACCATAATATTTTTTAGAGGTCATCCAATAAAAGGAGTTCGGTCAATTAGTGGTCGAATCAGTAAAAAAGATTTTTTTTTTAAATCTAAATATATAACTTTTATTATGTTTTAATATATTTAAATGTTTTTATAAATAAAAAACTATTTTGATGTTTTAAAATATTTAAAACTTAAATAATAGATATTATAATTTAATAAATATTTTAAAAAATAATTTAAAAACAAACAAATTAATCTAGACGGTCTGCTACATTCAGACATTATCTACGCATATGGTCAATTTCTTGACAAATCTTACATCTTCTCTTTTCTTTCTCAAGATCGTCCATTTTGGTTCTAATTCTTGTATTATTTGGACGCTCTTTCTTATTCCTTCGCATTGCCTCGTCATGGCAAATAGTAAATCCTTCATATATTGGCCAATTTTCGTTGTGGAAGTCCAAGGAAGATTTCGCTGTAGACTTTGAATACACTCAGAACCTTGAAAATATCTGGTATGTGCATGTTGTGGTCCTGCTGTATACTAGCACATGCTGCGATTACATGGGAGCAAGGTAAATGAAATGCTTGAAACCTCCCATAATCGCACCACCCTCTCTTGAGATCAACGCTAAAAGTACCTAATGGTCAGCCATCGTGTTGATTAATCCTTTCGGCAACCATAAACAGAATCCCTCACGATCAAATTGGATGACATTATGGATGCTAGATTTACTCGCTTCGTCGGCCATTTCCTTATTACAGTTATCCGTGAAAGTTTGACCGGATGCCAACATTTTTATCCAATCATGTCCTCGTTTTCCAAACAGCAATCCCAAACGATAGAACATTGACTTGACCACTGCAGTAATAGGAAGGTTTCGGGTAGCCTTAAGTACCGAGTTCATAGCTTCGGCCAAATTTGTTGTCATGTGTCTCCACCGCTGTCCTCCGTCAAACGATCAAATTGGATGACATTATGGATGCTAGATTTACTCGCTTCGTCGGCCATTTCCTTATTACAGTTATCCGTGAAAGTTTGACCGGATGCCAACATTTTTGTCCAATCATGTCCTCGTTTTCCAAACAGCGATCCCAAACAATAGAACATTGACTTGACCACTGCAGTAATAGAAAGGTTTCGGGTAGCCTTAAGTACCGAGTTCATAGCTTCGGCCAAATTTGTTGTCATGTGTCTCCACCGCTGTCCTCCGTCAAACGCCCTCGACCACTTCTCTCTGGGAATACTGTCTACCCACTCCAAAGCTGCTCTATTTGTTCTTCGTATTTCGCCTAGATAGTAATTAAATGTTGCCTCCGTTAATGCATATCATGTAGCAAAAATGTTAAGTAAAAATGTTCAGTAAAACATATGAAAATCAATTAGTCGAAATCAACATTCAGTGTTTCAATTGTCAGAGAAAATCCTAGAACCAAGGCAACCAAAGAGGTGATGATGCAGGTAGAGGAAGAGGTGGTGGTCGAAAGCTTGACAAAATTCATATTCAGTGTTTCAATTGTCAGAAGTATAGTCACTATTTTAGTGATTGTCCAGAAAAAAAGAAGAATCAAGAAACCGATGCAAAGCTAGTGAAACATGAAGAAGAAGAGATATTGTTGATGGTCACAACAAGAGACAAAGAAAGATTCTAGGACCAGTGATACTTGGACTAAGGATACTCATGATGTAACACCCCGTTTCCCTAAAATAAAATAAAACGATAAAAATAAGCACATATCAGAGTTTTCCCACAACGGGATGTCACAATTTTCAACAAAATGCCACAAATCATTTTTCAAAATAATATTCAGCAAAATTGCAGCGGAAAAAGATGTAGTCTGTCATAACACATATCATATATACATCATCCATATCATCAACATCGACATATACAACAATCGGTCATCTGCCCAAAATATACATAATGTCATCACATATCCCACAAAAGAAACCAGATACGCCACGGGGGCACATATAATCAACAAGAAACAATAAAACTCCCAAAAAGCCTCGGTGTTACGTATCAGAGCAATCCTACGACGACGCCACAATCCAAGCTAGCTAAACACCTGGATTGTTTGTACTTCCGAAGAAGCACAGACCACAACAACAGCAAAAGGGGTGATAATTCACGATCAAATATTAATGGTATAAATGTACATGAAATAAACGGTAGAAACAATAAATCATTATTTCACATACAACATATTCGGACCTACGTTCCCATCATCAACAATCACAACACACACAACAACAATGCAACACATGCACTCGACTCGACAATATGCGGTACCGACTCAACTCAGGATAGATCGCATACACTCCATCCGAGCAACGATTTATCCCTACCACGCTCCTCCTGAGCCCATATAATCAAATCTCAGGATAGATCGCATACACTCCATCCGAGCAACGATCTATCCCTACCAACGTTTCCCACTTGGAACACGAGTGGTCGCATACACTCCATCCGAGCAACGATCCAAATCCCGTCCACGCTCCCCATTCGGAGCACGTGAGTGAGTTTCACACCACGTCCACGCACCCCACTTGGAGCACGTGAGTAAATCATACCTCACGTCCACATGCTAATGCAAAACACTATGCATAACCACACATCACACATAGTGCACACGATACTACTGATCCATCGCATCATATAATGCATATACACACAAGCACACAAAATGCATCGATCCTACTGATCCAATCCATCACAACAACACGTCAATACAGCGCACACAAGGCATATCGATCCATACCGATCCACTCATCACACATCGTGGCATACACCAATTCAATTATCACAAACATACGGATATCACGGAATCACGTCCCGACACCCTACATACACTCACCACAGCTCGCCCAATAGGCTAATTACTATAACATGATCAACAAGATTCCAAATCCACAAAGAAATCAACACAGAACAGCAGCCAAAACACAAACTGATGTCGGGCTCGCTTGCGCATTTGCCTGGCGAAGCCCTGCAGCGAACACTCGTTGACCATTTACCTGGCGAAGCCCTGCAGTGAACACTCACTGGAACTCGCCCGGCGAAGCCTCGCCCCCCCCCCCCCCCCCCCCCCCTCATTCGCCCAGCGAATACCTGCGTACTCAGAAATCAGCAGCTCTCCTACTCTCCAATTTCCATCGAGACAACACTAAAATCATCGGCTTAAGGTTCTACAACCTAGCTACAACATCCAAACTCAATTTTACCCGATAAACTCTCAACTCTGTTCAATTATCCAACTTCCGACGTAAACTTCGAATTACCCGGAAACCCCAAAATCATCAAACAATCACTCTATAGCACATGCAATAAACTCAAACAAAATAAACACAATCATCACAGAATTATAAACATGCAATCAACGTCAATCCGTCATCAACCTATGGGGATTAGGGAATTTCCCCTTTCTACCACATATTTATGTTCATACCAATTTAACCGAACAATTCCCCCCCCCCCCCCCCCCCCTTACCTCAATTGTGATTCCGATGATGATGAACCTTCACAAATCCAAAGCATTCACGTCTTCCTTGCCAAGCTTGCTCACTTGATCGCTCTTGCTCCTTCACCGTGATCGTGCGTGTTCTTTCTCCTTGTTCGTTCTTCCTCTTTCTCTTTTTTCTAAATTCCACCTTTGCCCTCAATACCCCCAAAATCACCTTATTCCAAATAAAATATAATTCTCATAATTCTTTAATTCCAAAAATCCAATTAATAATAATAATAAACTTATTTTTCTTTTAATTTCCAACCCTTCCAATAATATATTTAAATATGACAACAATAATAATAATATCAATAATAATAATAATAATAATAATATTAACACTATTAATCATCATATTATTATTATTATCAATCATAGTTTTCTAATATTATGGAACTTTATTCCTCAACAAAAAAATACACGCAAGCATGCCGAGAATGAAAATAACACCGAAAAATAAAAATAATTAAAATGGGCGTTACAACTCTCCCCCACTTTAATTATTTTCGTCCTCGAAAATACCTGATAGAAACAGTCCTGGATACGCTTCCCGCATCCTACTTTCCAATTCATAGGTCACACTGCCTCCTGCAGGACCTCCCTAAGCCACTCTCACCAAAGGTATCTCTTTCCCTCTGAGT